AAGTTGAAAAGCAAACAACTCTCAGTTCCTGGTTTGAGGCTTTGAGGTTTGAAAAATCCATCAATGATATGTTTCTCCTTATTATCTAAAGGGCAAAGCATAAGAAAAACATTTATAGAATATTTTTTATAAAACTAAATAAAAATTGAATTGCCCAAGACAACATTAATTAATTTCTTCTTATTATGTTTTTCAGTTGGGAAATAATCTTGGAACTGAATGATGTTTCCACAAACCTATAACCTTTATCTCAAATAATTAACAATTTTGGCGGTTCCACAATCCATGGAAAGCATTATATTATTGAACTCATTGTTAGTTAACAAGTACCACTAATTTAACTAAGTATGACAATGTCTACAATCCAGCATCCACTCGAAGGAATATTGGTTAGAACAGGATTAGAGTACTTTGGAAGTTTCACAATAATGCTAACAGAAACAAGCTATTTTTAAGAAATATAAATATAGTTGACTTTCCAGTGAACTTAAAACAAAAGAAAATACAGTTAAATAAGGGACAGAAAATTTTGCAAAGAATAAGTTCTGCCAACAAGCAAATCAGGTGCATCTAGTCTTAATGAATTCCTGTGCAAGCAATAGTTCTTACCAATGTTAATGGTAGCCTGACGTGAGATAACTTCTGGCGACAGTGGGTGAAGTTTTGTCACATCAAGTTTACTCAAGTCTTGCTCCATTAATCCTTTACGAGACATTTTTTATGTAGACGATATACCTCAGTTGAGTCCTGAAAGGAAGCAAAGATACATATTCTACTGAGGTGAAGCTAATAAAACGATTGAAATCTTCAAAACTGGTACTCCAATATCTTTCTGCATCACATAGATGTCCTGATCCAGGATATACATAAAGTGCAACCTTAGTCTCCTTCTGCTTGATAGAAATAGCCTATAAGGAGGGGAGATTCGGGGGGCAATCAGGTACAAAAATTTCATGGATGTTTATGAATTTTCCAGAAACAAAATATGTAATCGGACACTGTGTAGCAACAAGTGACAATGCAAGAGGCTGATGGTCCTTATAGGGACATGAAGAAGGTGTGCACTTTGTGAACAAGTAATATATAAGGTTCAAGAAATGAGGACCACATGGTGAAACCAGTTAAATGTAAGTCACTGGACCAGTACGATAGTTTGGATACATCGAACTCCTTTAACATATATTTGTTTATACCAAACTGATAACAATTTTACAGCTTATGCAAAGGTCTGCCCTACGGTTTAACAATTCGAGGAGGCACCTTTCTGTGGCGTACGCCATTCCTCGAGCCTAACTAGCTGGCCAAATATAACCTTAATACTCGCCCTTCTTTTTCTTGTTCGACTGCATTAATCTTTTAACAAAATCAGAGTCCTCTTGCCCAAAGCCCATCTGCCAGACGTGATTCCCACACCAGATGTGCCAAGAAAGTAGATTGATAAGACGATGGCAGCCCAACGGCGGCGGCCGCTGGTGAGCGGAAGCGTCCGAGCCGCACGGAGATAAAGAGGCAGCACTGCCTCAATCAAGAATCTCCAGGGTTTTACTACGCCACTATCTTTCGATAAAGATCTCACAGTCGTATGAGCACGACAAATTCCCCGACGTCGGCCTTTCGGGAGTTTAAGAGTGGGATCCTCAGAAAGAAAGAAAGAATATGAAGATAGTATGAGTCGTCGAACGGGCAAAACGAACCAACAACAAAAGCACGAAAACATGATCAAAATTTGGAAACAATCAAGAACACGCCCATCCGGCCGTAATACATCTAAAAGAAGCACGGGCAACAAGAATACATTTACCCTGAACAAGAGAAAGATACCTTGAAAGCTGGATCGGCGAAAGGATCAGCGCACGGTCGGGAAGAAACCCTAAGATCTTGAAAGATCGCGAGGGTATCGGAGCCGAGGAGAGCAAGAGAGGCGGAGGGGACGGCGATAACGGACGCCGAGGCGGAGCTGTTGCGGAAGATAAAAAGAACGAGAAAGAGGTGGCGGAGAGGGCTTCGTAGGGCATCCGCGTCGAGTCTCCCCGATGATCCGAGTCGCTAATTCCAGATCCGACGGTTCAAATAAGCTTCTCGCTTCTCCCCATCGGAGAGGGGGGCGGGCAGCGAACGAGCCCGAAACACGACCCGACTCAAACTCACGCGGCTCAGTTGTAAACTGGGCCGTGTCGGCCTGATGCTAAGATAACAGACCGAATGTAAATGGGCCCAATTTTAAGGCACCTCTGCGAAGCTCTTTGACTTTGATTAGTTGATCATTAAGTAAATTGTTTTTTTTTTTGCATAATCTATTTTTAGCATTTAAATGAAACATCGCTTTATGTTTTGTATTTCTTGGATGAAAATTTAGAAACCGTTATTCTTGACATATTTTAATAAGTTGAAAAAAAATTTAATGTATTAGGTTGCTTATAATAAGCTGAAATATTATTGTGTTATGTTAGACTCCACTACTTTAGTGTTTTACGTTAATGTGTTATTAGTTCGAGCTATTAATGACCGATTAACTCTTAGAATTTAAGATATGATTGTATAAGATTTGAGTGATTAGGAGCGTAATTACATATTTATTTCTATAATTAATTATCTTTAGTATTTTAGTTTTTATATTTTTAATAATTATATTAAGATGTCGGTATTTATGAAAGTGAAATATTTAAACTCATTTCTCCTTATGTCATCGATTCTGTTAACGAAAATATCATACGTTCGTAGTGATTAATCAAAGTGAGACAAAAATAATAAGCACTCAGTGATAAGCCCTATAATGTTTCCATCAGTAAAATCAATGGTATAAGAAAAAATAAGATTAAATATTTTATTTTTATAACTTTTAAAAATATAAAGATCGAGATGCTTAAATTAACTAATTACATAAGGTAATATAACCCTCGATTGATCATGTAAAGGGGCACATATATTGATTTTTTTTTTTTGAAACCTCTTTCAAATTTCATCTTATTCAAAATCTTTTTTTTTTCTTTGACTACTGAATTATTAAAGAAATATATTAAGTAATATGATAAATGCCTAATCAACCCCCTAAACATGGATCACGCTATGGGATAAGGTTTCAAAGGAGGGATTTGTTGGGGAGAACAAAGTTGATTAGAGAAAAAGGAAGGAGTCGATGTTTCTTCGTCTTCTACTAGGCATAGTGTTACAGGATCAGCACTTGTCGTCATAACACGCGAATCACACGGCATCATCATCTTATAAACTATCGTCTCTACTAATTCCACATGAAGTCAAGCCTAAGTGAGCATTCCTTTGACGTCGTCTTCACGGCCAATTTGAACAGACATCAAGCTTTTAGCTGAGGTCGTCACTGATACCATCGGACCGCCTTCGTCCAATTTCAACATGTCCAAATAGTCTTTTTTGTCGAATTTAAATATGTATTTCGTTGTGTTTGACTTTTCTCGATGACCATAAAATCACACGTATTTATTTATAGAGAAGAAAACAAGATCAAGGTTGCAAATTAATTAGGCTTGTTTGAATGAGTGTTTCGTACTTTGTCAAACGGACCCGTCTTCTTCCTTTGCTCGATCGCTTTGTTGATGATGCAAGGGATTGAAACATCATCATCAATTTTAATCTATTAATCAATAAAAATATATTTTTGTAGATAAATCATTCTCATTTATCAAAAATATTAAAGGGTGATTAATTTTGCTTCGTACAAAAGAGTATAATGCCATAATGTTTTCACGACTATGAAAGAACTTCACGCCTCACTCCAAAAGGGATCTTGGCATCAAGATTAAATTAATATCGAATCCAAAATAAATGATTCAAAAGATTCCATCATTAGTTTAATTGTTAGAGAAAGATATTATTGACATTTGAGTCACGTACTTCAGATTCATGTATATAGGATTATTCGAGGTATTTTCAAGATAAAAATATCAAACTACTAAGATGATTATTTTGATGTGCCTATGATGTGAAAACATCAATCTCCCGACGAGATCATCCGAAATATCATCTATTATGAAGATTTAAATTGAAAGTGATTTCTCATCCTTCCGGCAATCAATACAGTAGGTGGTAAAAAATAACTTTTTGATTGTGTTAAAAATAAATTTTTATATCTAATAATAAAATAATATAAAATATATTATATAAAATATTTTTGGATGAGATAATCTTCAACCGTCTTTATCAATATTAATTTGATATCTTATACATACAACACCTAACCAACATGTCATGTAGCTGACATGTGCTGAATGCAATATCTTTCCTCTGATTAGTTAAACATCGATATCAACGACTTGACATCGACTTCCAAATCCAATTCATGCAATTGAGCTGTGGGACGCTTCATTCATTGCCAGACATGACGTTTCTCTATCAACTCAAATCTAAGACGTGATATCCTCGTCAATAAATAATAAATCATGTATCCTGCTAATGAACATGTAATTTTTTGATTTGACGACGACTTTAACCCTAAGTACGAATTTGTACTTGTCATAATAATCACATCGCATGGATTATTGACCCATTATATTAATTTTTACAGTTTAAATCGATGACAATTATATCATACTAAATCGAAATGCGCACGAGACTACTTATGGAAAAGTATACAAGTTGAATTATCATTGAAACAGACATAATCTAAGCATGTCGATCCTATTATGGATGCGAATCTATGATTCAGCGAGTAATTAAAAATGGGCACCAACCACGGGACCAAAACCCAACCACTACATGTATATGTTTCTAAATCTTTTAAAGCTTATTGATATATATATATATATATATATATATGATTTTAATTAAAAAATGTTTTGTTTTGATATCCTCTGAATTATTTTATAAAATTCTTATTATATTTTATAAGTTTTATATATCTTTTAAGGTGTGGGGAGGTGTGATAGTTTATTGGTGCATGCAGATGCAAGGGGACGTCGTCTCGTCTGGTGACTGCTAGGTGCTGTGAAGCAGGCGTGAGGTGCGAAAGTCGCCGGTAGATGGCAGCGCCCGAAAGCAGCTATTTGTTGAAGCTGAAGATGAAGATGGTGAAGTTTTACCCAACTCGACCGAGAAATTAAAGAGAGAAGCAAGCAAGCAAACAAAGAAAAGCTGTGGAGAACGAAGAAGGGCGAGCGGGGGAAAGAGTCGTCCGTCGCGTGCGTCAAGAGAACGTCACGCGCTCTCCACCTACCCCTCGCCATCTCTCTCTCTCTCTCTCGACCTACCACCCGAACGAGGCGAGAGAGAGAGAGAGAGAGAGAGAGAGAGAGAGTTTATAAATGGTGAGCTAGCCGGCCGGAGCGCTAGCCAGGGATCGAATACGATCTCTGCGCCTCGACGGGTCGCAGCAAATCCTCCTCCTTCCTCTTTGGTTGCGTCGTGATTCCCGTTTGATTCCTACCTGAAGCCGACCCACCGGATAGGTGGAGGAGTAGTCGAGAGGAAGAGGCAGAGGCAGCAGAACGAAACCTCCCTTCCACATCTTCTCCTTTGGCCTTTTCCTCTATCTGCCGAGGTTTATCGTATGGCGATCACAGTACATCCTCCTCCTCTTCCTCCTGCTAACGTTATCAGCAGGAAGAGCGGATCGGTTTCTCTCAGTATCGGTGTCAGAGCTGCTGCCAACTTCGAACAAAATAAGCAGCAGCGGCAAGAACGACAAGTCGAGCAGGGCCGGAGGAAAGATATCCGCACCTCTCGCCCCTCCTCTCCTTTGGGAGCCTCCGACGAGGTGGCCTCGCGCTTGGGCTACGAGATCGCCATTGCCAACCTCGAGCGCCTATTCTGGCAGCAGGCCGCCACGGGAGTCCAACCGCCCGCGTCTGGGGAACCCTCCGGTCGCCCCGTCCGCGTGGCCTACCAGGGTTCCCGCGGCTCCTACTGCCAGGAGGCCGCCGCCAGGGCCTTCCCCTCCTCGGCCTGCGAGGCCTTCCCCTGCGCCCACATGGAAGAAGCCTTCGACGTCCTCGAGGACCACTCCGCCGACCGCGCCGTGGTGCCCGCGGAGAACTCCCTCGACGGGCCCATCGACCGCAACCTCGACCTCCTCCTCCGCCACCCGGGAATCCGCATCTTGGGCGAGCTCGTCCTCCCGGTCAATCACTGCCTGCTCTCCCTCCCGGGCGTGCTCAGGTCCGGCCTCCGCCGGGTCATCAGTCACCCGCAGGCCCTGTCCCACTGCCGCCGGAGCCTGGAGGCCCTCGGCCTCGAGGTCGACGAGGTCTCTAGTGCCACCGATGCCGCCCGGTTCGTGGCAGAGAATCGGGTGGCGGACACCGCGGTCATCGGAAGCCGGATGGCCGCCCGGGAGTTCGGACTGCGGGTCCTGAAGCCCAACTTCCAGGACCACCACCTCGGTGGCAACCTCACCCGCTTCCTCCAGCTCGGCCTATCTTCAGGGCACGCCCAGGCCTCTTCTTCCATCGTCGGAGGGGCAGCGCACAAGACCACCGTGGTCTTCACTCTGGACGGAGGGGCGTCAGACCTGTTCCGGGCGATGTGGATCTTCGAGAGTCGAGACCTGAGGGTGACGCGCGTCGACCACCGGCCCAACCGTGCGAAGCCGCTCCGGGTGGTTGACCGGGGCGACGACGGGCTGAGGAACGTGACGTACCTGGACTACGTCTTCGTGTTGGACGTCGAAGGCAGCGTGTCGGACCCCGTCGTGGAGGCCGCACTGGCACGCTTGAACGAGATGGCCGTCTTCTCACGTGTGCTCGGAAGCTACACCTGCACGTACCAAGGAATTAATTAATTTGTATATAATGAATGAAATATACGCCGTATCCGTATGTACTCACTTACAAGCAAATACGGTCTTCCGTAATAAAAAGGAAGCATTTATTTACTTTTATTTATTTATTTTTAGAGTGATCGAAACTTGTATTTTTCAATCGTCGTTCATCCTAAGAACACTTTTTAATTAAGTTGTAGATTTAATTTTAAGCAAAAATTACAGAGTGAGCAAACGTCATTAGCATGACAACCGATGACGTCAGATTTGTAGGTTTACAAATATTAATTCGAGATGTCATACCTAACTTCGTAGTTTGCTTGTAGAGATATATCGCAACCGACAACGAAACCTCCTTTTGCAACTTGTGACGAGTGCCGACATTTACCTTTTGATACGTCGAACACCATGGAGGAGGAGAACCACGGCAAGATTGGCAACCTGCCGGTCAATGAGCGGACTCTTTTTTGGCGGGGGCAATGCGCGGCTCTAAGGTAGGGAGAGGAGGAGAGGAGATTAGGCGGAGATTCGAATGCGTTTCTTGAAAGTAAACAAAGAATAGGCTTCTTGCGATGCTTTTCGCGATTAGGCAGCGGGGAGCAGATTGTGTTTAGGCGGAAGAGGAGGGGGAAAAAGAGATGAGAGATGAAAAGCAAATTCCTGCGACGTTTCCCGGAACCAGGCACCGTCACAGCGATCGCCGGGAGGAGACTGTGACTGGGGACCCTTTTTGAAGGGCGGAAGGCCTCGTTGTTCTAGCGCGATAGCACGATCGGTTCACCCTCCTCTTCCTCCTTCTGGCGCCTCGTCGAATTGCATTATCGATCGAAAGGGGAATAAAAGGAGGTGATATCCAACTCTCTCACCCTGATGGGAAGGTGCCCGCACGGGCTCCTTTTCCGTTTGTTAAGAAGAGAACACCGATGAAAGCTTGGCCTGGGGAATCGGACGGTTGAAACTTATGCGAACGTCGGGATCTGCAATTCCCCTTGTTTTGTTGAAGTCGAAGCAGAGGCAGCCAGCGTCCACTTGGTGTGCTGCAGGTTCGACATCAACGACGTTCGCTTGTGCGCACCGAAGAAAGAATCCACTTTTAACCTCTATGAACAGTATTTATTGAAATACTCTTTGGGAACAGGATTTATTGCCTTTGAGGAGAAAACAATTTGAGATCGTGTCGCATTAAATGGTTGATTTACTGCCTCCACTCCATATTTGATTGTCATTCTTTTTCTCTGTATCCTTCGTTATGCTTTTGTCGAGTCTTCCGATCGATGCTCTCCAAAGTGACTAACTTCGAATATTTAAGCTGTTGAAGTCATTACCTATAGGTGACACTCTTACTTAGCCCAGTTTTCATTTATCAAATTTGGCTATAACTTGAATATTTAGAGATCTGGTTGTTGAGATGATTATTGATTTGGGATGATCTTCTACGTTTTATGCATATCACCTTCCACTATGGTTACCTACATTGCAATTGATAATTTTCTGAGTTCTGTGATGTCGTACAAATAAGTTAGGAAGGAAAGATAGGCACCAGAAAAAGAGATCCTTCTTTGAACTGGCCTTCACATTTAACACATCATAGGAAACTGAAATGAACCAGCACTCGAGTCACAAGAAAATGCTATCTGATGAACTATGGTGATGCATGCTAGATTACATTTGATTTTCTAAATATATTTCATTACGTTCACATTAAGTCAAGGTTTTTGCTTCTTGTCCAATGGAGTTAAAATTAACTCTCTTGAGAATGAGAACTCTCCCGAGTCCTAAGTTGAATGCAAAAAAAGTTTCATATAATACATTTACTAATACCCTGAATCTATCTCTTTGTTGTTTAGTTTCTTTCAATTTGAGTACCTAATAGATTATGTTTCTTTGAAGTCCTTCAACAGAATTCAAGAAGTCCATAATAACATGATATTTCATGATACCAAAAGAATATTTATCCAAATTGTAGCTTTTCGGATACAGCAATCTTTCATCCACACTAATATCTTTGTGGTTACAGGTGATGTTTTGGTTGGAACTCGATCATGGTTTGGAGGATTTCTTTACTGCATTGGTAATAAACGGCAAGGTAGTGATGAAAAGACGCTTGATTATACTTTGACCCCTCGTCAAGTAATTTGTTTTCACAATCAAATAGTTGATTTATTGTTGACATGATTTTCCCCATCTGCCATAGATTATACATGATCATGATGTATTGCTTGAATTGGTAATTTGGGTTACCAAATCAAGTTTCATGATGTGATTCTTAAAAATATTCTGTATCAAGAAGTATAGGAATGCTTAGCGGATTAATGAAGTAATGGTTGCTGAAGTATTTGTAGGATCGGTGTCCTCAAAGATGGAATTTACTTCTTGTCAACATGTATAACTTGACAAATGACAAGAGGACATGTTGTCAATTTTCAGCTGAAGAAAATAGAACATTTCATGTTGAACAGCAGGCATCGGCTGATACTACTACCATGTTCTCTTGATGTAAAGTTCTGATTTCTCAACATATTAAATCACTTCATACTTTTAATTGACTACTGTTGACAGCATATAGGAGAAATTATGGAGTTTCTTGATCACCCAAAGTGAGAAGTGACCAATCTTTCTTTACAATAAGTTCATTACAGGATGTTTCACATCTTGGCTATGGGATTTTGGGTTTTTATAAGCTCAAGTTATGGCTACCATAAGCACTAGCACAAGTCACACTTCTAATGATGTACTCTTTTAACTGCCATAGGCATGATTGCCATTAGCTTAATGTAAGATAGGTTTTGATTAGAGAGCAGACAAAGGATTTTTCCATGAAAATATACTATGCTAGAAGATTTTGCTGTATCTTTTATCACCAGGCAGCAGCTATCTCTTACTATTTCACCAAACTACTAGACCTGAAGTCAATATTTCAGCAAACCACTAGACATGGAGCCACTAGAACTGAACTATTTCACCAGCTACGTCTGACATATCGTTCCAATGATGGAGTCCTGGCATATGAATAAGAAGAACAGGATCATCGAGCATATCTATATAATGGTGCATTTTATGTTAAACAACTATTTTTCAGAATATGATTTTGTGAAATAAATCATCATTAAAAAAAAGACCAGCTACCTTCATGCATTTATAATTTCACTGATATAAAATATAATTTATATCAATCACCAGCCTTTTCTGATATGGCTTAGGTTCTGTTTTTATTGATACGTTAATAGAATGACAGACTTGTGGGTGAGGCTTTCCTATTCTGGCATTCTTGATGCATGAGTGGAGGTAGCATATCATTTCAGTGAATTATTACCCCTTGAAGATCAATTTGGTTTTACTTGTTTTCTAATTCTGTCGATGTAGGCCACAGTTCTTAATGTCTGCTTGTTCATATATTTTTTTCGCAGGAAATAAGATTACAAAAGCTTAAGGAATGCTTGAATGTACCATTTGATGAGTGTCACGCAGATCATCAGGTATCATATTCTTTGACTTTATTTTCCACTTGTAAAATAAAAATGAATTGCTCTTACACATTGTGAAAGCGGGTTACTTGTTTATCAAGAGTCATTCATCTTCTTTAAGATTTGTGCAGAATTAAGCTATTTACAAAATGTGTTGCTGGCTCTCCTTTTGGATACTGAGAAAAATAGATGAAACTTGCAAGAATAACTTGAAAAAGCAGAAAAACTACATACATCTCTGTTGGGCTATAAGCATATATTTCACCAATAGTCCATTTCACAGATCTGGCTCCTGAATTTGGTTTGCTGCAATCACAATTTGTTAGGAACAGTTCGAAAAAAAAAAGTTTGAACTTGATGTCCTATCTTACATTTTGTGCACTCCTACACTTTTGCCACCAGGAAGCCCTCAGAGCTCTTCGGCACGCATCCTTTCCTGAAGTAAAACTTACAGGACTCAAATCGGAGCAATGGAAGGACATGGGATGGCAAGGGCCAAATCCATCAACTGATTTCAGGTGTTCATTTCTTCTTAATTTTAAATTTGCCTTCAGGTTATGTTTATTTTACATGCTGGTTTGTCTTAAAATTGTAATAATAATGTACTTGATCGAGTTTGAAGTATCGTTCGTATGAATGCTGCTTAACTAGCATCAAATAGTCTTTTTAAGAATGATTTGGTTCCGTAGCACTAGATAATGGTCCTAAAAATCTTCTAAAAGTAGGGTCCAATAGATGTGGACACATATGGAATTTGAATGCTTATCCAGGTGTGTGAATACACACTTGAGGTTATTGAATCTCAGATTTTGATGATGAAATCAATCGATAATGTTTATGGTTTGATCTGCGTTTTGAGTGATGCAGGAAGCTTCGATCAGGAAGAGACAATTAAGGCAACAATAATCATGTTGAGTCAGAATGGAACATATGAGAAGATTGGACGTCGAGCTAGAGGATCGATCGACGTATCGGTAGAAGGTTTCATGAGAACGGTAACCATTAATTTTGAACGGTTGTGGTCTACAGCTAGAATTGTAATTAATTGGGTTTGAGATTTCATTCAATTATCTTTCATTGATTTATTAAAATATTTTGTTTGGAACATGTTCGATTAAGGATGACTTTCTAAGAGAAGCCGACTCGTATGCTGACTACTATTAGCTACCGTCCTTGCCAACTTGTAGAATAAAAATTGAAGATCTTTTTCGTTAATTGTGACCATTTTGGAAGTTTTGTTCTATTCTTTTGATCTCTCGTATCTTCCTTTTCGTGTAGTAGAAACAAACAATTTGCATCCTGACCTGAATCAGATCAGGATTCTCTTAATTTGATATCGGTAGCCAATGATTTTTTACACTAGCCATGGCCTGGGTGATCTAGTATCCACCAGGATGGCACATGGCACGGCATGTGCCAACATGTCGTGCCATGCTGGTCATGTGTGTGGTTGCATAATGATGTCATTCTATGGGGGTATGGGCACAGCACCCAGTGGGGCTCACTGGCACGTTACACATTCCAGCATGCTTGCGAAGGCCGTTATGGCAATACATTATTAAGACTGATTTCTCATTATTCCAAGATGAAGGCTACGAATGAATGAATCACATCATAAGATGACAGATCAAAATTAAATAAGCTATTAGTGGATTACCAAGTTCAACAACAACAGCCATTCATATAATTTGCTGTTCTAACCAGGTCGGATCTCGAGTTCGTTGGCTCCGTCCTCCTCCGCTACCTCGCGACATATCCGTAGCCTGTTCTAACCGGGTCGGATTTTGAATCTGCAGTCGCGCCAATAATTAGTGCATGCCGTTGGCTCCGGCTGGCCGCGCGCGCGAGAGCGGGGAAGGATCGAGATCGACAGATGGAGAGTCGTAGAGATGAGGCGAATAGAAACGGTTCCAACTCCAGTTCGACATTCCCCGCCACCGCCCTCCAGATCGAGCTCCCCCCAACTCGACGAGATCTGCCTCACCGTCCACTTCAACAACTGGTACTTCTTCTTCATTAATTGTCTGTCCATTTGTTTATCGACAGCCCTAGGTTTGGAATCGCGCACGCCCTTTTGCCTGGGCCTTGCACCGTGGCTCGCCGCCGAGGTGCCGCTGATTCTTGGGGATTTGGGGCGTTCTCAAGCACAAAGATGACGAGGTCCCTCATGGTAATCAATCGTACCATATAGCAACTTAGAGCTTCTTAAACATATTATTCTGACCAATTTTTGCTATCGTTTTGGTGAAGTCTCCGATGAATTTTAGCGATATAAACTTGTTTCGGTCTATTTGGGGAAGATCCTGTAGAACGGGTCACATATTGTTTATACATTAATCATGTCTGATGCATAAGTAATATTGATGAAAGGTAATATTCTACCACTGTTACTACCAAAGTATTCATCACGCTCGTAATGTTTCACACACCTCGCAAAAGAACTTCGATGTCGATCTAGTTGTGGACCATCGAAATTTTTTTTTTGGGTGAACTGTGAACATCGTTGCCTAAGGAGCCAAACAGTCACTCCTTTTTTTCTTTAACTTTACTTTCGAGAAATATAGAGGGATTTAGAGATGAAATGAGAAAGTCCACATGAAAGCCATATATTGTAATCACCATGTGTAGAATTAAACCTTGATAGCCCAACCAGAGATATATTGTAATCACTGGAAGTATCTTTCAGTAAATATTTAGAGACATTATTACAAAATTCAACAAAACTGGACCAGATGGATTCTATAATACCCTGTTTAAACCTGCATTTGAAGTGGAAGAAGACTTGAACTTATAGTGCCAGAGTCTTGGGTCTAAGCATCTTAAATCAGTGGTTCAAACTCCACAAGTCAATGGATCAGTTATGCCATCAAGTCGGGTCGTGACAAATGGCACTAGAGCTGACTTTTAGTTTTGGTTAGAATAGGAGGGAAAAAAAAAAAAAACCAGTGAACGAGATTTGAGTTTCAAGTGCACGCTGTGGAGTGGAGCGCCACTGGATCGTTCCTCACGTGTAACATGCTTTAGGAAGCCGGAGATGACTTGAATGGACTTCTAATCTTGTAGATGAATCTATAGTCATCACAGTTGATCGGATTCATTCTTCGTGACTCTATTCTCACGTAAGGTTTTCTTGAACTAGTCTTCAGTTGTGCTAGGTACAGGCTTAAATTAAAGCTAGTTGATTAGGTCCTCCATTGACTTGATCTGAACAGACCTTCCTCTTCGGTTGGCTCTATCTATGGTACCTTCGGGCTTAGCCACACTGCCATGGTGGGTGACCCTAAATTTCTTCTCCCTCGTCCTTTTCTCTGCTGCTGGTGGTGATTCTTCTTTAACATCTTTTAATTTCTTGTTCCTCGAACACATCTTTTCAGTATTCGTTTTCATGTGTTTCAATTAAAATTCATCTTCATAGTGTATGGACAAGCGGAGAAAGTTGGCTTTGACATAAATTTGCTAACATGATCAGGGTTGACTTACTTGAGCCATCATCAATGGAGAGCGTTCACGATGAGGGGTGTGTTTAGCTCGGAACCAAGGTGAGGATCCACTAGGACAAGTTAGGATCGCCATTTTTAACCGATTGAAGTTGAGGTTTGTGATGCGGACCAGGCTGGTTGGCTGTGGATGGATCGTAAAAGCAATATCTCAAACTAACTAGCAGATTGAGATGCCATTGTTAATGTACCACAAAGCATTGATGGAAGCAGGTTTTCGACTGCGAGGCCATACTGAAATTTTGATCATCTGCGACATCTCCAAATGAGTTCTTGAGCTATTTGTCTTTTCTCATTTGGTCAATATTGTTTTTGTTCAAGCAGAAAAGTATGTGTGAGGTTGTGAACTCAGTTCTAAACATTCAAGCACCCACCTCGTATTCCTGTTGTTGCATCGATTCGTTCTCATCGATCTTTAAATCTTGGTGCCCTCTTATTTTCTTTCGGGTTCGTCCTGTTTCTGCCATCAGTCGGGTTTGTGGGTTTGTTAGACACACTTCCTGCCTTTTTGCATGCGATCTCAAACCTGTCATCCTCTCTTGTGTTGGGAACTTTAATGTCCATCGTTCTCTCTTCCTTTTTTTTTGGTTTGTACTTTGTGCATCTTCTTATTTCCCTCTACAATTGATTGCTTGGGGATCATCGACATTGGAGGATTATAATTCGTAATTTTGACATTATTTGATGATGAAAGGAGAGAGATGGTCACTGCATGTTGTGTTCATTGTGGCTCCATAAGTAGGGTCTGCTGCTTTCTTGTTGGACATGCTACTAATTTGACGTGGACTTGTTGCCGATTGTTTTCTTGCTGATTCACTCGATGGGCAACACCATGGAGGATGACGTGTATACCTTGTCAAGTGGTTGGACAGCTTTATGGGTGTGGATACCTAAAGGACAATAAATGACGCACAGTCATTGTTGTCTGAAATCTAGCGGTCTTATCCATAAGATTATCCTGTACAAGTGCACCAAGTGATGTCGATGATCAACTATCTAATGATCATGTCGCACAACATTGCCTGTTGGATAATGACATTAGGACCCGTGACAAGAAGGTGAGAGGCATGTCAATCCTCCCTTGCTCCGATGAACCCATCAGGAAAGAGTCAGACGGCAGAGACAAGAAGGTGCGAAACAAAGCACAAGCACGATGCCTGCAACAAGAAGAAAGAGAAACATGCATTTTTTTCTTCTTTGATTACAGATCCTTAACTGTTAATAGTGGACTCCAGCTACCCATAGATAGAAAAGGAATGTAGGCGTTTGGGGACATGAGAGAGCTATAAACACCTTTCACATCAGAGAGTTTTGTCACAGAACACCCAGAAAGCCCGGAAATGATGTGTTTATTGTGGTGCATACTTACATTACAACTCCACATGTATTAATATAATATGAGACATAAAACAGCATCCGGCTTCCACTATTTCTGCTCAGAACCAGTCTCTTTCGAATAACTTCATTATTATTATTATCAAGCTTGCTAGGACACGGAAGTCTCAGAAGTTGGGGCCAGCAGCGAGAATCTCCTCCGTCAGATTCCCGTCCTTGCCGATCTTGTAATTTGCAAACACCTCAAAGTTCTTCCTGAACAGGCCAGCCAGCTTCAGCAGTGTTTCCCTGTAGGCTGCCTTGTCCTGCCACTGTCCCCATTACACAGTGCGATCAGCATCACGTTCATTCTAATCTCCAATTGCTTGATACAGTGAAGGAACAATGAGAAAGAAAAAACTTACAGTGTTCATCGGATCCAGAATCTCTGATGGCACACCCTCGATCTCAGTTGGAATATCCAGCCCAAACACCTCCGTCTTCTTGTAATTGGCAGTCAGTAGGCTCCCAGAGTGTATGGCGTCGATGATCTTCCGAGTGTAGGCCAGCTTGATGCGGCTGCCCACGCCATACCTGAAGGGGATAGAAATGTGTGAAGCAGCTAGACAAGGACGAGGGCTCTCCTCTTAACGTCTTGCATGGGTCCATGACGTTTCACCTACCTTCCACCAGACCAACCGGTGTTGACTAGCCACCCAGTGGCCCCATACCTCTGCATTTTCTCGGCCAGCATTGCAGCGTACCTAGTGGGGTGGAGCATTATGAAGGCCGCACCGAAGCAAGCAGAGAACGTGGCCTGTGGCTCTTTTACACCTTCCTCAGTGCCGGCAACCTGTACTCCAGTAATGGCACATGAATACAGAAACCACTATGATTTTATAGTTATCAGCGGTTCAAGGATGAAAAATATGGTACCAGAGCAGTGTAGCCACTTATGAAATGGTACATGGTTTGGCTCAGGCTCAGCTTGCTCACTGGTGGGAGGACGCCAAAGGCATCACAGGCCAGTAGGATAACATTCCTCGGGTGCGGTCCGACACATGGTATCTTCGCATTGGGGATGAACTCGATCGGATAGGCAGCGCGAGTGTTCTCTGCAAAATCATCAATGGTGATGTTATCAGTTATCACAACTACATCAATCTGATTTTGCATTGGTGAGAGAAGAGCACAAGGGAAGTACCTGTGACCGACTTATCCGAATAGTCCACTTCACGAGTGTGCTCTTCTAATACAACATTTTCCAACACTGCAAGGTTCTCACACCTTTCATTTTACATTGTAAAGAAACGAATCCATTTTATATACAATACAAAAGCACACTGTGGATTTTACCAGTTCCAAACTTGATGGCATTCCAGATATCAGGTTCCTTCTCCTTTGATAGGTCTATGCACTTGGCGTAGCACCCACCTTCAATATTTGAAACACCATTGTCACTCCAACAATGTTCATCGTCACCGATAAGTAGCCTGTTATGATCAGTAGACAAAGTTGTCTTCCCAGTGCCTGAAAAACAAATGCATACAAAGGTAGAGTGGTTTCAGGTAGATAAAAGACACATGATTAATGAAATGAGAGATAGAAGGATGGCTCCTTATCCTACTTCGCCTAACCTTACCTGATAATCCAAAGAAGAGGGCAACATTCCCATCTTTGCCCATGTTGCACCCAGAATGTAAAGAAAGAATTTGTCTCTTAGGCATCAGATAGTGCATCAAACTGAACAGACCCTTCTTCATCTCTCCAGCATATTGAGTACCAAGGATAACCATTTCCTTTCTAGCAAGATTCAGGTCTACACTGGTTGAGGAAGTCATGTAGTGCGTGTAACGGTTGCACGGGAACTGCCCTGCATTGTAGATCGTGAAATCTGGAGTACCAAAATTTTCCAATTCTTCTGGTGTGGGACGGATGCACCTGCAGCAGCCAAGGTATCTTTTATGCATGACCTATTCTACGAAAATACACTTCTCTACTGGTTGTTTTCCATGTTTGTACTCACATATTATGCATGAATAGGGAATGGTAGGCTCTTGCTGAAACAATTCTCACTTTGATCTGATGCACAGGATCCCAGTTCAGGAATTGATCATTCACAAACACCTGTGGTGATAACATAATTAGATTCCAAAGAAGCATGCATGTAAATACTGAATCAATCGATTCAAATAAATTTACATAGTACATAAGTAAGACCAATCACAGCAAAGGATAGATAGAAGCACCTGACAGGTTAACAATGAGAATAAGGGCTGAAGCTTAAAACAGTGTATAAGTAAGAATTCATTTCTTTGGTAAAACTGGTAATTTCAGACGGTGCAGGGTATTCTCTAGTCAAGAGAGGATGAGCATTAATAAATAGAATGATTGAAAATCTTTCTTAGCATGCTTCTCTGTCTTCTTGGTTCAGTGATAAGAAATATGTGTTAATCTGTCAACTACTCGACAGAAGGGTTTTTCTTCGCATAAATTGTCAGATGTGTAGGGAAAGTGTGATGGCTGATATATGAGGAAGATCAGAGACTAGCAAAAAGAATTTTCAATTTCTTATCATCAGCAAATCTCAGGATTTGGTTTATCATAGCTCTTACATGTTAGTAGTTGCAATAATTTTAGCAAAAATTTTAGTAGTTGCAATACCTTGTCCAGAGAATTCAGGTAATCAACAGCTCTCTCCCTGTTCACTAGGAATGTGTGTTCATCCATTTCAATATTAGGCGATCCCCTATATGGACAAAAAAAGATTAATGAAGGGAGCAGATCAATAGGTAGTGACATGTGCCAAAAACAAGTAGAATACAGAATGACAGAGGAATTGTGGAACTCACTTCCCCCACCACAGCTCTTCTGCAGTGGTTTCATCGAAGACAACTCGCTTGTCCCGGGGAGCACGACCGGTCTTTGCACCAGACAAGGTGGCCAAAGCTCCAGTCGATGTGATAAACGATCCCTTCTCATATTTTATGGCTTGTTCATACAGTTCTGGAACGACAAAGGTTACTTGATCAATAAAAGCAATGTACAAGTTGAGTGTCATGTATGAGGATTTGTACTCATGCATGCTCAGAGATGAAAGTTTCAGATGAGTACAAGTCATGAGAATTACACAGGTCAAACAGCTGCGCATGATCTCCACAAGGATATAAACTAAATGCATGAACCTCTTCAGGATGAAGAGGAGAACTACCAGTGAGTGGGATAAAGAACAAAGAAGAAAGGGGGGGAAAAGGAGTTATGGAAGCAAGATTATGCATTGCATATGGCAACATCAATGGACACTTGGGCATATTTACAACTAATGAATGATCGGCTGATGTTTGACAGTGACCTTGGGCAACCTTGGCAAGTTGGTGAAGTGAATGTTTACCTGCAGGCGAGAGGTTGACAAATGCATGAACCTCTTCACTCTTCAGGATGAAGAAGTAATGAATGGGATAAAAAACAAAGAAGAAAGGGGGAAAAGAGGAGTTATGAGAGAAAGATCGTGCATTGCATACTAGGTGCATATGGCAACATCGTGTGGGCATATTGACCACTGATGAATGATGTTGACAGTGAGATTGAGCAACCTTGGCTTAGTCGGTGAAGTGCTTCCAGGCTTCTAACCCAAACAAACATCCATGGGCAGAGAGGGGAAGAGCATGTAACCTGCAGGTGAGAGGTTGTAGAGGACATGGGTGAACTTGAGGGCGCTGTCGCTGACGCTGATGGTCGGGGTGAAGTAATGGTGGTGAACAGTGCTGATCTTGGGGGTGTCCGCCTTCCTCGCCGGATCGCCCTTCACCAACTTGGGTCCTGTCTCTCGAGTCAGCGATGCCAGCGACGCACTGCACGCGTCGTCATCAGCGAGCCAGGATTTGGGATTAGAGCCAGCAAACTGGTGGAAGGCGGGCAGACGGGGGTTCACCTGATGGACTGGAGCTGCAGCCTCTGGCGCTCCTCGTCGGAGATGGTGGCAAAGGGGGCGCCCTGGCCATCCTTGACGGGGGTGGTGGGGGCGGAGCGCTTCTTTTGGAGGGAGTGGAGCTCGTCGATGGTCTGCGCCTTCACCGGCGGGGTGCTGTCGTCGTGGCAGATGCCGTCGTTGCCGTCCCGATCCTCCCCGTCCTTGGTCTTCTTGAAGCTGATGCTGCGGCTTGTCTGGATCGGTGGCAGCCTTCCGCGCGGCGACACGACCGCCGGCACACCCCCATTGGCGAAGCTGAACTCTGCCTTCCCCCCCTCCATCGCTGTGCTACTTGCTCTTTAGGCCTGCCTTGATACGAAAACGAAACGGAGATCAAGAGAGAGAGAGAGAGAGAGAGAGATGGCATCACTTTGCTTGTGCTAAGCTTAGTCGACCGAGCATAAAGAAGACAGATCGTTCACCTGGATGCAGATGAAGAAGCCCGAAGAAGAGGTGGAATACAGAGGGGAGGTGGCCGTCCTTTTAGAGGTCACGGAGCGTGCCCCAAGAAGGAGGCACACAACTCGCTACTACTACCGTTGAAGAGGCAGTTGACGGTGGGTGATGGATCGGACGGGAGGGCTGGTGGTCTCCTCGTGGACAAGAACCCCGTGACAGACTGGAGCCGGTTCGCGTACCAAATCGTGTATGGATATTCATAAATCCTGGAAAGTGACAGGCTTTTTCTTTCCCAAGTTGCTTACTTATCTCATCACTTCTCTCGTAGTCCATTAGGAGGGCTCGGCTCGGGCACGGGCACGTGCGCCCGCCAAGAAGTCGTCGAGGACACACGTAATTTATTAACGACGTCGCGGCCTAATAGGCATATTGACGGTGAAGAGGCACCGACAGGCTCAAAATGCATAGAACGAGTCAAGATGAATGAATTAATTCATGGCGATCATGATAGCTAATCGGATAATAAATATAATTAGTTGATCTGGAGGATGATGAGGACGCTGGCTGTCGTTACAGGGTGGTGATAAATGGAAGCAGGCATCATGTTTGCCTCGTCATATCGTCGTCAGATTTCATCGGAGACCAGCAGGCCGGCATCATGTTTGCCTCGTCATGTCGTTCTCGGATTTCATCGCTAATGGAAGCATGGGATTGACCTTCTCTCCGGGATTTACGGATACTTGTGTTGCCAGCGCCCACACGTAAACTAAGTGGTTTAGCCGATGACATGGTCATTATTTATTATTCATAGAAGAGGTAAGCAGGGATGGAGTCGTAGTTCATCCGCATCTACTCGTTGCTGACTCGGGGGTAGTAGTTGGTCGACATGGGAGTCGGAGGGAATACCACGTGCATCTTAGGGGGCGATGACCGGGTGATTCCTCCACGTCACTTACCGATCACCCCTGCAAATAAGTCTTTTTAATATGCATGCAATA